GTATCGCAAATGCGAGAGGTGGTCTGGGCAGCCTTCTTCGCAAATACGAAGTGTTTGTCGCAAATGCGACACCTGCCTGGATCCTCCTTAGTCGCAAAGCGAAACCTCAGTCGCAAATGCGACTTCGCAAATGCGACACTTCTTTCGCAATTCCCAACCTAGCAGAGGTCGGGGTTCGCATTTCCTACATCTGTAACCTGCAACTTTTATACTTAGACGAATTTTTAACCCATTTTCATATCTTCTCAAAACATAAACACTCTAGGGCGATTTTTCAAAGGCTTCTTCTCTCCAAATCAATTGTAAGTCATTTTTAACTAGTTTTCTTCAATCCTTAACATCTTCTAACATGATTTCAACTCAAAATCAATGATTTTCATGGGGAAAATTGGGTGTTTTGGGTAGAACCTAGGTCTTTCAAAAATTGCGGATTTGGACCTTGATTTGAGGTCCGATTTCAAAACAAATTAAATATTTGGGTTCGCGGGGGAATGGGTAATCGGTTTTTGGTTCGAACCTCAGGTTTTGACCATGTGGGCCCGGGGCAATTTTTGACTTTTTGGATAAAACTTTGGAAGACTCATTTTCATGCATTCGAATTGATTCATTTATTGATGTAATTAAGTAACTTGTAACTAGATATGAGCGAATTGGTGGTGGAATCAAGGGGTAAAGCTATAATTGAAACGTGAATCGTGTTCGTGGCATCGAGGTAAGTATTTAGTCTAACCTTAGCTTGAGGGATTAGGAGTCGAGTCCTATTTGCTATGTGGTAATTGTTGAGTACGACGTATAGGCATGGTGACGAGTATCTATATGTTGGTGTCTAGCATGCCCGTGAGTCTTATATTGTGATTATCATGACTTCGTTGTATCTTTCATACCTTGGTGATGGTCTCTATGTGTTGTGTAAAGTTTGTGGAAGGAATTGTGACTTATGAATATTGAGGAGCGTTGGCTCAAGTTGTATAACGAATTGTGAAGGTATAAGTGATAATTGAACCTTTAGAGCATTGGTTCGAGTTGTGAAGTGAATTGCGAAGTAAGAGTGAGAAAGAGAAGAGATCATTATGTTGCCTCCGTGCCGGGCTATTGCTACTTTATTTGTTATCTCTCTTGCCAGGATTTAGTTGTTGTTTTGATGTTGTCCCTTGCAGGGACTTGTTGAATTATTGTTTCCTTGCCGGGATTATTATCGCAATTTCATTTATTTTCCTTGCCCTATTGTTTGTGATTGTTGTTTGGGTGAGGAAGAGAGTTAAAGCACGAAGGGTGATGTCGTGCATTGTTTTTGTGAGGAAAGAGTGTAAAGCACGAAGGGTGATGCCGTGTATGATTTGTGAGGAAAGAGTGTAAAGCACGAAGGGTGATGCCGTGTATGATTTGTGAGGAAAGAGTGTAAAGCACGAAGGGTGATACCGTGCTGCACGATGTACCATTCTGTGCCGATTATATTGATTATATGGTGAGGAAAGAGAGTAAAAGCACGAAGGGTGATGTCGTGCATTGTTTTTGTGAGGAAAGAGTGTAAAGCACGAAGGGTGATACCGTGCTGCACGATGTACCATTCTGTGCCGATTATATTGATTATATGGTGAGGAAAGAGAGTAAAAGCACGAAGGGTGATGTCGTGCACATTTTCATTACTTGATTGCTTTGGTGAGGACGAGAGTAAAAGCACGAAGGATGATGCCGTGCATTTATTGAATTTATGAATCTTTGTTGATATCTGAGATATATTACTTCTTTCATTTACTTGTTGTATTTTCTATTCAAAATTGATATCTCCCCCGCGTCATGCTCCCCCCTCCCCCATTTGACTGTTTATTTTTGTACTTCTTTTCCGTTGTATATATTTGAATTGCACAGGTTTATTTGGTAGTCTGGTCCTAGTCTCGTCAATACTTCGCCGAGGTTAGGCTAGACACTTATCAGCACATGGGGTCGGTTGTGCTAATACTACACTTTGCACTATGTGCAGATCCCGGAGCAGCTCTTGGGCCGTAGTTTGGAGGCTACCTTCAGTCCACGCGGAGATCCAAGGTAGACCTGCAGGAGTCTGCGGGCCCCTGGCGTCTCCTCTATCTTTATTTCTTATTTCATCTTTTTGCTTCAGAAACAGTGTGTCTTTTATTCTCAGCCCTTGTATTTAGCAGTCTTAGACCGTCTGTGGTACTGTGACACCAGGTTTTGGGTGAGTAAGGCTTAAGCAGTTGTAATAGATACAGATTTCAGATATTTTATTATTTTCTTCCGCTTAATTTAAAATTTCCGCTGTTTATACGTTATCGCTTTATGTTTGTTAAAAAGAAATAAATGGATAATGAAGTAATTAGTCTAAAAGATTGGCTTGCCTAGCTCACCTTAGTAGGCACCATCACGATTCTCGAGGGTGAGAAATCCGGATCGTGACAATAGTCAACAACTCAACTTTGCTTGAGGCTGTTATGGTTTTCCCCTCCTTCCATTCGAAGCTGCTGCTTTGAATATTCCTATTTAAAATTATATCAACTCATAATTCCATACTATATTTCAGTGAAAGGGAACCCCCGCCTCTGAATATCATTCTTTTTGTATTAGTATGTCATTTCATAATTCAACTTCGACAAGTCTTCGATTGTTAATTAAAAGATGACATCAAATACAAATACTATAGAGTATCTTTTATTTGTAGATAAGGTAGAGAAATTTTATAACTTTCAACATGAAGACAATGGCTTACACAGAAAGAATAGTATCTTCATGTCAAATCGGCAACCGCAGTGAAACAAAGCTGAAACTCTTATCAAATTAGCGTACATTTTAGTTGTGTTTTTAAAAAAAAACGGAAAAGGGTTCAAAATGCCCCTAAACTATTGGAAAAGGTTTAAAAATACCCTTCATCCACCTATTAGGCTAAAAATATCCCTTCATATACCTTTTTGGTTCACTTATGCCCTTTGACCGTTAGGTCAATGCTGAATTAAAAATAATTACTTAAAAAAAATTGCAAAATATTTTATTTTTTTAAACTAATGCACCAATAGTCCACTAATTTAGTAAAGTCTTCTCCTTCTTTTTTTTCAGTTTTTACGAAAAACATTCAGTTTTTACAAAAAAAATCATTTTTTTCACTTTTTTTAAAGCTTTTTTTTTTGGTAAAAACTGAAAAAAAATTGTTTTTAATAAAATATTTTCGCTTTTTAAAAACTGAAAAAATATTTTCAACAAAATATATTCGTTTTTTGAAACATATTTTTTTCAGTTTTTTAAAGCATTTTTTTTTTGTAAAAACTGGAAAAACAAATTTGTAAAAACTGAAAAAAATATTTTCATTTTTAACAAAATATATATTTTTTTAAAAAAACTGAATATGAAAAAAATAATATTTTTTAAAAAACGAAAATATTTTGTTGAAAATATTTTTTTCAGTTTTTAAAAAAACGAAAATATTTTTGTTAAAACAATTTTTTTCTGTTTTTACAATTTTTTTCCAGTTTTTACAAAAAATGCTTTAAAAAACTGAAAAAAATATATATTTTTTTTGTAAAAACTGAATTATTTTTTGTAAAAACTGAAAAAAAGAAGAAGAAGACTTTACTAAATTAGTGGACTACTGGTGCATTAGTTTTAAAAAACAAAAATATTTTGCAAAATATTTTTTTAAGTAATTATATTTAATTCAGCATTGACCTAACGGTCAAAGGGCATAAGTGAAGCAAAAAGGTAAATGGAGGGGTATTTTTAGCCCAGTAGGTGAATGAAGGGTATTTTTAAACTTTTTCCAATAGTTTAGGGATATTTTGAACCCTTTTCCGTAAAAAAAAAATTCAAACTCATTTCTTAATTCAAATGCCGCTGGTTGGGATTCATAGTTCAAGACTGAGCAAAATGTATACTCCTGTACTAAGTTCATACTTCAGGGGTGGAACTAATATATACTCTCTCCATTTCAATTTATATGAATTAATTTGATTCACACAAAGTTAAGTGAAAAACTTTTCGAACTTTTAGTCTTAAACAGCAAACATTAGTATAGCTATAAGACTTTTGAAACTTGTAATATTAAATATGACATAACATTTGTATGATTATAAAAATTTCTCATTTGATTTTTATTTCTAAATGTGAATCTATATTTGTGGGAGTATGGAAACTTATCCGTGTTTTGTTTATTAAATGCTTTTAAGTGCTATTTGACCTGTAGATGAAATGTTTAAACTATGTTAGTACTTTGACAAATTATCGATCCATAAATAAACTTTGAATGGTTAACTCTTTCCAAGGATTAATAAAGATAGACTTCAAATACAATTATTTTAACTATCAAAATGGAAACTATATGAAGTAAATTTAGTAAAATAAAGGAAGAATATTAACTTCATATCAAATAAACTCTTTATTTTGGTGCTCGTACCAGTATGGCCTGCTGCTCTACTTGCTCCTTCAGCAACGTGTAAAGTGTACACCTTTTGCAAGTTCACACTTTAGGGATGGAACTAAACACCCAGAAAACTATCGAAAATCCGCTCAAAAGATTGCAATGACGAAAACCTCTTCCTAATTAGGTTCTTTGCAGTGGCAGATAGACGAGTATTTTCACGGGCCAGCAAATGGAAAATATTGAACATCATATATGTCGATAATCAAGAGTTAATAAATGCAAATATGAGAATCAGCAATTTTATATGCTCCTACAAAAATACACTAGAAATATTTCATGAACTTTGTACTAAGAAAGAGAGATGCCTTAGGCACCGGGGTGAGCGGGCAAAGGATTTAAGTCCATTTCAACTTGGTTGATGGTCCACTGCATGCTCTCCAATTTCTGCATGGATATGAGCGGAAATTAGCTTTTATCTCCAGAAAACAAAAGTAAAGAAGTACTATAATAATTCAGAAAACTCGCAGGAACTTTTCTTTTTCACCTTTACAATGTCATGGTACTGCCTAGCAATTTCGTCAAAATGAGGATCAACCCCTTGATACTCACGAAGGCGGGCAGCCTAACATATTTCACAGATAAATACATATCAGTCTTGTGGTGCCAAGCACGAATCAGAGCTAGATATTCTACCATCTTAGGAGTCAGCATATTTTAGCTTCCTGTCGTAGATGAACTCTTTTTATTTTTTTAACCTACAGTTTAGCATACAGTAAACAGAGTAAAATATTTCCTAAAAGAAGAGAACTAGATAAATAGATGTTTAGGAGAAAAAGCCATGCCCCAGAACAACCCAAATATCAGATTAATGGATTAGTGAGAGCTATGTTGCTCGGATCCTCCAAAATTGCCGATGGATACGTGTCGTATTATCCAAAAGCTATGCGTTTTTAAAGGATCCAAACACGGATGCCCATTTGGAGGATCCAAGCAATATAAGTGAAAACTACTTTCAAGCCAAAAGTGTAATTCTTCATTGAACACCAAACCTCCCAAATAGAGACATATAGTGATGGCATCTGCTCAAGTATTCAGCTACTTTTGTCAAAAGAAATAGTGAGGACAAACAAAAGACAAGCGAAAATATACAGGAAAGAGCTCCTCATACAGTGAAGTCCAATTTAATTGTCTTCAATTTCCTAAGCAATCACTTTTTTTATCCTCATGCTCCTTCACCACCGATGACATAATTTACATGGAAAATGAAATGAGCACTGCCCATGAACAATCTTAATTGAGGCATTTTTTGGAAAGATGAAAAACATGACACAACCATCTTCCAATTGCATTTTAGTATTGGCTGGCCCTACCGGATAACAGTAGTGCTACAATCTTTGAATGTTCAAATTTCCATGATTTTCTGGATGAGGGGGTAGTCCAGGGAACAAGCGTAAGCAAATCATGGAAATGTAGTAAATTTGAAGATGATCCACCCAACTGAAAAGAAAAATATTAAAATAGTATAAGAAAGTATACCGCTTTCTCATATGCAAGTGATGCTTCTTCTGTTGCTTCAATCAAATACTTCCTGGGATGATGTTAAACTGAGTATACTTTCTTCGGTATCGAAAATCTAATAAAGATTTCTAAAGTCATATTTCTTTACCTTATTTTGTGAAGTGCAGGGATAGTTTCCGGGGTATACGTCTCAAGTAGGAGAATATGTTCCAGAACTCTGTTGAACAATAGGAAGTATTAGAAGCTGTTGAACTTGATGACGATAGCACTAGAATTTCAAAGGCATATATATCAAAGCAAGACATTGTGTGCTTTTACAAAAGAGTAACAGGATGTAAAATGCTAGTTTTAAACTTAATTACAACAGTATTATGCTAGTTAATTTCTGGGGTTTTCACGTTCGAAAAGGAAAACTAAGCTCATAGAACTTAAAACATTACTAAGTGAATCTCTCCAGAAAATTCAACCATCAGGAGGCATAAGTCTGAAGTAGGAGAATATGTTCCAGAAACTCTCATCAGGAAGCATAAGTCTGAAGTAGGAGAATATGTTCCAGAAACTCTGGTGAACAATAGAGAATCTGAGAAGCCATTAAACTTGACAACCATAATATTAGTATTTCAAAGGCATAAGTCTTTGCTCTTTAGTATGAGAATAACACGATGTAAGAAGATCTATTGAAGTTGATGACAACACTATTATGCTAAACAAGTTTCTGAGATTTTCAAATTGAAAAGAATAAAAGACTCATCGGAAGTAATACATTACAATTTTGAGATTTCTCAAGAAATCTAATCGTTTTGGAGGTAAAAGAGAAAACCAATAAGACATACTAGTTTGAATGGATCATTTCACCTAAAGAGTAGCTATCACTGACTTGGAGTTACGTGAATGATAAACAATGTACTCCCTGAAAAGATAAAGAAATAATAAATAAATAAATAAACTGCAACCAGGACTTCAACCACTGAAGTGCCAGATCACTACCTTCATACCAGGCATTAGGCAATTGACATTGGGTCATCATTCTAAGATAGAGGAAGCAATAATTGAACTGAGCTTTTCACCCAATCCCAACCCCACACAATTAATCCTAGATAAGAAAGAGAACCCTTCTTAAAATCAGTAGCCATATGATGCACGAATGAATAGAAGAAGAAGTAATTCGAATCTCCAATTCCTCCCCAAGCCACAAAAATAAGTCAATAGATAGAATAACGAACCAGAAACAAGAATAAGGTAAATCATACCTTAATTTTGCCCTCATTGTCTCACATCTTTTGCACAGCCACGTCTTTTGCAGTTCATCCTATTAATGGATCATTACAAATTATAATCAGAATAAACATCTATTCTAAAGAGCAAAAGACCATCACCAGTGCCCACATCATATCCAAAACTATTATGTGTCAGGCACCATAATCCTTTGGAAGAATCAGAGGATGGTTAATATGAACAAAAGAAACAAGAGCAGAATGGTTAACTTACATATTTATGTTGATGGTCCAACTTTATATCTTTGACAAGCTTAATGAGCACACCAAGGATCTGCTCCAAAACCTTAGATAGGCAAACATATAAAGTCAAATATTTTCTCAAGTAACATTAGCCTTTAGGATCTGTGGAAGTGCAACATAGAATGAAAAGGCTGACAAGACGAAATAGGTAGGCATCAATGATGCATAACGGCATTCTTACATTATAGTATTCTGCAAATTTTCTGTTAGATGAATATAAATCCTCACGCCATGCTGTTTCTTCTCTTTCAATCTCCTCAATGATCAACTTTACCCTGTTATATCATAGATTAGAAGCTCCCACACCTAAATCTAAAAAGCAATCAAGAATAGTATTATGATCATTATTTTAAATATCACTTTTTATAACATGGCGTCCAGGCCAACTTGTGCCTACGCCAACGAATCCACCGGATACCTATTACCTCCCAGCATAGTTACATGTTAACTCTACCCACCAACACTTAGACAGATGGGAAGAGTAGTTCACCTAGAGCCTTCTCTGCTCGATTCAAACTTTGGCTCCTATAGCTATTAATCCAACTCTTCGACACTAGGTCTTCCCCTTGGGGGTGAATTGTAATACAAGATTATTGAATAATGTACAATATGACAAGCCAATCCATTATTCAGAATGTAAATTATCTTTCTGCCAAATGATATTAATTTTAATGTATATCCAAAATAGATTCTATCCTTCCATGGAAATACAATGCTAATAGAGACATGATAATGACAGATTAGCATCAAAAAGAATACTTCATTCAACTTAACAAACTACAAAAAAGATGCACAACCTGTTCTATAAATGATTATATAAATCATAAAATATAAAAAGATTAGTAGAGAGAGAGAGAGACCTTTCTGGAAGCCGGGCAGCTGAACTTTGATTGCCAGCAGATATATCTGTAGAACCAAGGTAGGTTATGTTCTTAACATACATCTTGATATGATAACAAATTCTAAGAGTTCTTTGTTATTTAGATAGCAATAGAACTACTCAACCAATCACCGGAGAATACACTGACATGAGTAAATCCAGAACTTAAGCATATCATCAGTCAATATTTCCTTTTGCACCACAATTTGAAACATTACAGTGATAGATTTCGGGCAATGCAATTGACAATATATATTATAGCCATTAACATAATGATCCGCCCATAGAGGCTAATCATAAAACTGAAGTAGATGACCAGGTCCTACGTATCAATGCTGATTTATTTAAAAGAAAAACAGACAAAAACCCGCCGACCAACACAAAGAAAGGCGAAGGACCAAGAGAAGACGAAGGAAGAGAAATAAGTAACTTAAACGTACCAATGTCATCAATAGCAACTGCATTAGATAACTTATCACATTTAGCATCCAACCGGCTTCCAATCTCACGTGAAAGCAATCTCTGGTATTCTGCCACATCCTATAGCGACAGATGTATAAGCATCTATGGATGTGTAGAACTAACACTTAAATAACCTGACGAATAGTAATTCCATTTATAGATAATTCACGTATAACAAGCAATCAACATATAAGCATATAAAGTAAGAGAGCCATGAAGATTACTGCAACACTTCATTGAAGCATTAATAAAGAAGAGAAAAAATTCCCCATAAGACCACAAGGTTTTCTAAGTCAATCATATAGGTTTTGTACCACTGATGACATCTGATGTAGTTGAGTTTGCCATAAATATGCAGGCGTAACTCCAAGGAATCGATTGGGAACACCACCAACATCTGGTTCTGTTGCATCAGTTGTACCGGTAGTGGAAGCACTGCTTGCTGCAGGAACAGCTCCAATTACAGATGCATTGGTTTGATAAGTTGAGTTTGAGCTCGAGCTTAATGTGATGCTGGTGCTTGTGCTATCACTAGAACATCTCGACAGTACACTCCATTTTTCAATTTCATCCTCGTGAATCTCACCGTCTTTGGAGATAAGTGGAAGCCTCAATCTCTGAGCTGCTTCAGCAACAACCATCCTATGCTCAAGAGCCTCATAAACCTGAAGTCATTCTAGAGTCAAAATCACCCAGAGAATTTAAATTGATTCAATTAAAATGATTTCAAAGAAGAAATTGGCAGAAAAAGGCTATAACCAGGTCCTCAAAATGCACAAAGCATAGCACCTGAAATTTATCATTTTGGGACAAGTATAGACTATGGCAGAAAGGCGGGGGAATCCGGGATCGTTGGTAAACAGAAACTAGCTAATGAGTACCGCGTCTTCCCAGTGAAGTAGAACCGTCTTCATGAGGCCTCAACGATCCCTGTGGCGATGTTCAAAGCGTGACGGCCCCAAATAAATAGGCTTACTTTTCTTCACTTGAATGATTGAATCATAATTACAAGAATCTAGATTTGAGTGAATCAAGATTTGAGTATTGTGTCGTAAGGAAAAAAATGAATCGGAAAAAAAGGGGTTATTAGCTCAATGGTAGAGCGTGCCCCTGATAATTTCGTCTTTGTGCCTGCGCTGTGAGGGCTCGAAGCCACATGGATAATTAATGTGCTCATCGGCACCTGACCCTGAGCATTCTCATCTATTGGTAATCAATTTTGGATTTGTTTACAGGTACATACTCGATATGGGTGTGAGTAAGTATCGAGTAAGTGTACGTGCAAGCTTTTGGTGAATTTTTGTGTATTTTAAGAGTCTGCATAAAGGGGGGCATTGGCGCAAGTTGTGGTGATAGCCTCTTGCATAAATGCAAAATAATGTTGTGTACATAAGCCCCAATGTCGTCGGTCCTTGTCCAAACCCCAAACATAGCGGGAGCTTAATGCACCAGGCTGCCCTTTTTTAAAGAGTCCGCATGAAATACTTATACCCAAGTCACACCATCACGTAAGAGAACTAAAGGATCTGTTTACACATAGTTGATAATTAAGCATGTAAAAATGCATCCATAAAGCCATATGAACTGAGACACAATAAGTAAAGGCCAAATAAGTAGAAAAGTGGAACCTGAGGAGGGTTTTTCAAGCCCAATTGAGAGTATAAACCCTGCACATCTCGAATACCACCAAGATTGGCCACAGAAATGGCTTGCTGGTAATCTTCTACCATCGCGGTCGCCTCAATATATACTGCCTACAAGGTTTATCCAAACAAAGGGTATATGCAACAATTAGACTAGACAAATCAGGATATATATTAATTCAATTCGAGTTTAAGTTAGATGCACCATCACTGTAAGGAATATTTACACTATCTGGTCATCTGTATAACATGACTGGTAGTGTAAAAAAAAATTTTGCTCTGATAGTGTATAACTTAAATTCAATTCAAAAAAACAAATGTCAATTTCCAAAATAGAAGCCCTACTAAGGATTCCAAATAGCGCTGTCTCTCCTTTGACATTTCTTCTCTCGCCTGCATTTTCAAACAAAAACATCTCATAAAACTAGAGCATTTTAATTTTTCATCAAATAATCAAATGGGGTTTAAGGTAGCATTATAGAGAGAGAGAAGAAAAATACGAGTTGGCGATCGAAGTAAGCGGATTTGGAGACGAGAGATCCATCAGGGGCTAAGCAGTGGCGCTCCAACTGATCGATCAGCTGTGTGACGTCCGCCGGCAGGTTTTGCGAACCCACCCCTCTTACCATTTCCGGTCTACTATAATCCAAAGATGACTCTTTTTCTCCCTTGTGTCGCTTCTCCGGCAATTCAAATTCAAAGTACTTAGTTCCCTTTTGGCGTCACTCTTATCCTTGTACTTGCAGTTTCCCCTTTAGAAAGTTTGCACTTTTAAATCCCTCGAATCAATGTGCATTTCGGATCCCTTTGCTTCTGAATCATAACAAATTTTACAGCTTGTTTGTGAGTTTGTTACTCGTTGTATTATATTGTATTGTTTCATTAAAATTGGTTGTATTGTATTGTTAAATTTATTATTTTGGAACAATAAAAAGTCACATTTTTTTAAATAACCGATTTAATGTGGTAGCATTATNTTTTTTTTTTTTTTTGGAGCGATTGTCGTGTGAAGCAAAAATCACGTGCTCACAATTATTTCCTATTTTTCTTTCCAATTATATCCTAACTTGTTACTTCATAATTCTTTTTTATCCTTTTTTATTTTAACCCCAAATCTACTACCTATAACCTACTTTGTCTTCATCCCTTTTTTTTTCCGAACTGTTGGTTCCAACTCCAACGTAAAATTGCTAATTTTGTTAGAATTTGCATGCATTTAATTGCATAATCTATTTATAAGACATATTTGGTGATAAATTAGTAGAAAGGGGTTTTCTTAAAAAAAAAATTATGCGTAATTCTTGATAAATTTAATATTTTAACAATTAAGGGTATTTTAGTAAACTTATCCGTTATAGTATAGTACGATACAGTCAAACCAAACAACAAAATATTATTTACCAATAGCTAACAATACAATCCATCCAAACGTTGTATTCATAAAACGATATAATACAATACAACACAACTAAGAAATATTTTTCTATGATTAAATTAAAATTTTAAAAAAATAAATTAATTTCTAATATAGGTAATTGTACTAATGATAATTAAAAATTAAATTTGTATCTTAAAGCTAAAAAGAAAAGAAAATTTAACTGCATCTAATACAAAAATAATTATAAGAGAACTCAATATATTTGGAACGTAATAATCAAATAACTTATGTATTAATATTTTAGACTAATTCAAAGTTACAATTTAAAATAAAATATGATATTATTTTAGCTATAGGTAAAATATTAATATAAAAACTATTTAAAATATAGTAGGGAAGAGATGTATAAAAAAAATAAAGGTAGTGTGATTTATACTTTAAATTAATTGAAAAATAAATAAATTAAATAATTAAATTATATTTAAAAATATTACGAATAAATTTAAATGATTAAAAAATTCCGAACAAGAGGATACAAGCATAAAAATATACCAAATTTCAAGAATAAATTATTTATATTTATTAAAGACTATTAAAAAGATAATAAGCAAGATAGTAATTAAATTATTAAGCTAATAAAAAATTATATGACAGTATAATAATACTAAATAATAAATAATACAATAACTATAAGAAAAGAACAAAAATAAAAAAGAATTTGCATAAAATGATGTGATGAATAAGACATATTTGACTTTCAGTCAAAAACAAAGTGATAATAAGAATTTTCTTAAAATGATATGATATAATGTGCTCAAACAACACAGATCACAACATGACATATTTAGTATTTTTTAATATTAACACTGAAACGAAATACAAGTACTAAAATCAAGGGATTAAGTTGCTACAAATAAAATAAAAGTTGTCTACTATGAGATTTGAATAATAATTTCATATCTTGCTTCAAAATTAATATCTAATGTTATATAATTTTTATATGAAAGGTTTATATTTTAAGGTTATTTGCACATAATTCTAACAACTTAGATTACAATTTGACATAATTTGTATTCGCGCATCGCGCGGGTACTAATACTAGTAAGAATTAATCAATAACAACGGAATCAAAAATGCTATATTCCTTTTTTCTAATAATAATCTCGGTTGTCTCAAAGGAAAGTCAGTTTTTCAAATGAATGTTGAAGTATTTATTTGAAGCTGGAATTGCAAAAACAAATTATTTGTACCTGACGTAAATTTGTAGAAGTTTGTAGAAAAATGTTTATAGAAGTAAATTTATATTTTGAACGGTTTTAAATTTTTGAAGAAAAAAAATTGTGAAAGCTAAATTTACTATTTTGTTTATATCAAAAGGTTTCATTCTCAGTTTCATAAACGAATCATAATTTACAAATTGAAGCAACATTATTTGCAAACGCGACCTACAAATAAACGCATGCTTATTTTGCATGATAAATGTGGATTTTTAATTTTTTTAAAATCAAAATATACGTATTTAAAAAATAAATAATAGTATTCTAAGTTATCCCGAGTGAGTATTTAACGATCCGACATAGGCTCTTGGTTATGGACTTAGAGATCAAGAGAAAGAGGAAAAAGAGGGTGGTGTACAGTCAATCTAACATCAAGAGGGGAGCCTTGACTAAAAATAAAGTTTAGGAGTTGGGGGAAAAAGTTACTGGCTATGGGGAGTTGGAGGAGTAGTGAGGACCCGAGTAGTATATGGACCACGACAGCAAACTGCATTAGGGAAGCTGCTAGAGAAGTGTTAGGGATCACGAAGGGATACCCCGGTGGACACAAAGGGGACTGGTGCTGGAATGGGGAGGTCCAGGGAAAAGTGAAAGCAAAAAAAGCAGCATACTTGAAGTTAGTGGAGAGCGTAGATGAGGAGGAGAAGAAGACATATAGTGAGTGTTATAAGAAGGCAAAAAAGAGGCAAATTAGCGGTTCGGTTAAGACTGCAGCGTTCAGACGCTTGTATGAGGTACTTGGGGCAATGGCAGGGTAGCCAAGATAAGAGAGAGGAAGGCATGTGACCTGGACCAAATGAAGTGCATCAAAAACGAGGAGGGCAATGTATTGCAGTATTGGTGGAAGAGGCATGTATTAGACGTATACGACAGACATACTTCCATAGACTCTTGAACGAAGAAGGGGACAGAAACATTATACTTGCTGAGTTGGAGTCCGATAGTAAGCGAGATTTTGGATTTTTTAGGTGCATTAAGGTTGCGGGGGTTGAGGGGGCATTGCGAAAGATGAGCAGGGGTAAGGTGACTGGGCCAAACGAGATCCCGACAAAATTTTAGTAGGACGCGAGTCGGGCTAGATTTGAGTGGCTTACTGGGTTATTTAATATTATTTTTAGGACGAAGAAGATGCTCGAAGACTAAAGGTGGATTTTGATGATATTATTGTACAAGAACAAGGGCGATATTTAAAATTACAACAATTGTAGGGATATTAAGCTGTTGAGTCTCTCTGTGAAAGTTCGAGAAAGGGTAGTGGAGGGAAGGGTGAGGAGAAGTGTGTCTATTTTCGAGAATTAATTCGGATTTATATCGGGGCGATCGACTACAGAAGCCATTCATCTTGTGAAGAGATTAGTGGAGCAGTATAGGGAGAGTGTGAAGGACTTGCATATGATATTTATTGACCTGGAAAAAGCTTACGATAAAGTCCCGAGGGAGGTTCTATGAAGATGTTTGGAGGTTAGCGGTATTCCAGTAGCGTACACTAGGGTGATTAAGGATATGTATGATGGTGCTAAGACGCGGGCGAGGATTTTTGGAGGAGACTCGAAATATTTTCTAGTGCAACGGGGTTATACCAGGGATCAACTCTTGGCCTGTTTCTATTTTCCCTAGTGTTGACACATTCAAGGGGAAGTGCCATGTGGTATATTATTTGCAGATGACATAGTACTAATTGACGAAACGCAAGGTGAGAATAACGCTAGGCTGGAGGTTTAAAGATAGACCGTGGGTCTAAAAGTTTCAAGTTGAGTAGGACCAAAATAGAGTACTTGGAGTGCAAGTTTAGTGAAGGGACTCATAAAGCAGAAGTGAACGTGAAGCTTGATAGCCAAGTCATCACCATAAGAGACAGTTTCAAGTATCTTGGGTCTGCAATCCAAGGTAATAGAGAGATTGACGAGGATATTACACATCGTATTGGAGCAGGATGGATGAAATGGGAGCTCGCATATAACATTTTGTGTGATAAGAATGTACTACCAAGACTTAAGAGCAAATTCTATAGAGTGATGGTTAAACCGACTATGTTGTATGAGGCTGAATGTTAGTCAGTTAAAAAATCTCATCTTAGACAGATGAAAGTAGCAGATTCCCTTATGTGTCATGCTCTCAGTCGTCCAATGTTGTATCTAGAAGGTTCCTATGTGTGTGGAGTAAATGTCTAGAAGAGGTTATTTAGTTAATTTTGTTGATTTACACATAGGAGAGTCAGTTATCAATTAGTTATAGTTCTAGTATGTATATAGCAAATACTTGTACGTACATGATCGGCGGGCAGTAGGTTGGTTGGGGGAGGAGGGTGGAGCTGATTAAAGAAGGGGTTGTTCTATTCTTTTCTTTTTTAATTTTAACATATTATACTTCTTTTTTCTTTTGATAAATTACAACAGGCAGAATGACTTAAATGACATTTATATTTGTGCCACTTTGTCATGTCGGTTTCCAAATTTAACAATTTGCCAATTGAACACTTACAATCCTTCAAACCGTATATAATAAACGCTTATGACATGAGGCTGTCAGTGCGTGTAATACAATCTCCTACACGTAGGACGCCACGTCAAGAAAATTAAACCACGTATGCTCCAGGTCATTTATTATGGTCACATAGGAAAATAAAACGGGAAATGATTATTAAACCCTCCCTCCCCAAAACCCAAATTTTCCCGTCATTTTACACTTACCTCCTTAGTTTAGGGCTTAGAAAGTATCGGACCACTTATGTCTCTCCTCTCTTCTCCGTCATCATTGCCGAAATTTTCATCATCGCAATTGTTATCGAAGTTTATGGAGTAAGTTTCTTCATCTGTTCTTCATCTTTTGTCGTTATTGATCTTCATTTCACCTTAATATATGGGGCTTTTGCTTTTTAAGTTTTAAGGGGAAGACTGGGTTAGGTCGTAATTGCTCTTTAATTTTCCTCAATATATGGGGCTTTTGCTCTGTTTGTTACATTTTGAAGTAAAAACTCTTTTTAATGTAGTATCATGCATGTAATGGCATATTTAGTTATTTTATTTAGTTTTTTTTTTTTTTTTCAAATCAGAATTTCATCTTAGATTTATGCATTTTTTTGTGAAGTTTGTTGGGTCTCGTTCTTGTTTGTGGTCCATTAGATATTTCTGAATATTATACGGTATTGTGGGGACGAAAAAAGAATTTTGG